GTGGTCTTCCTGAAACAACATGGAATCCAGGCTGCTTAGCGACATGCAAGGGTATAAAAAAACCTTTTGGTGTTTGAACAAATACAGTTTTCTTCGGTTCTGAGTTCATAAGTGGGTTCGGCATATATAAAGTACCTGAATTTTGTGTAGTGGCTCGTAGTTTGTCCTTTACAAGCTGCTGCGTTATTATTGCATCTGACTGAGTCTTAAGTAATGTGCTAATACCTGAAATTCTAGGTGTCTTCTCTGCATCTCTCACGTCCTGTGAAACCGATAGCACTTGTTTATCTTTTCCATTACACTTTAAATTTAGACCATTTGTAAGGATACCAACACCAGCATTGCCAGAAGGAACTGGGAAGACACTTTCTAGTTTGATGTCTTTTGAAGATTCAACTACTGTTCCTTCTCCCTCAAGTTTCTGAAGTGACTGGTCACAATGAAATGTTAGGCTTTTATGTGGAACTTTAGAGTCCTGTTTTACATCATATTTTGGTTTTAATTCCTCCTGAAGTAATCGATTTATTTCAGGTGGCAAAATTTCTGATGCCTGTTGGCTCTGTAGAGAGAAAACAGATGTGATTCTAGGCATCATAAGGGAATCAACATTAGAAAAGTCATTCCATTCTGGTTTTTCATTCCCACTCTCTAAATTTTGGTTTTCATTAGTGTAGAGGTTCTGACCATCAGTATTTTGTCCTCTTTCTAAAACACACCGCTCTTCCAATTCAGCTTTCATTTTCAAAGCTCCACCTTTATCATTTGAAAGGCTGACAGATGCCAACAGGCTATCTGGGTTTGAGCTCTCCTTCCTCACTATGGATTCCGTCTCACTTACGGGTTGTTGAGCAACTGTTTTGCTGGATGAAGAGTCTCTCTGAAAGCTTTCACACAGTGCTGTTCCGGAAAGCCTACGACGTTTATTAGAGTTGTTCACTTTGGAGTAGTTATGAAAAGGTAATGATCCTTGGCTGGAGGAGTCAGCAGGTAGCTCAGAGCTGACATAATTAATGCAATAGTTATGCATATCTCCACTGCTGTATACGCTTGGTTTGTCAGAATGCTTGATTTTACTGGGACTTTTACTGACGGTGTTTGATACCTCAGGATGATGCTGAGTGATATGATTTCCCCACAAGTCAACAATATCCCTTGCTTCAACTTTTGTGGTCAAACTCTCTGACGCGGTACCTAATTCTGATGGTGCTGGCAAAGATGGCACACTTTTATTGAAATCCACTGTTTGAAGCATACTATTCCTTTCAGGTATCAAAGCCACTTCTTTCTCTGAAATTATTTTCCCTGAAAGTGTAGGAGATGAACATGAAAATGGAGCTGTTTTCATATACACTGTGTCACTTAACTCAGTTGTCACTCCTGTTAAAAATCCAGTGGTATCCAAAGTCGGAGGCTGCAAATTAGCAGTGCTGTCCTTTGCAGCATCTGACTGTGAGGCCGGTAAATGTAAGTTCTGCTTATTGGTAGGCAACAATTTTATCACAATATGTTGTTTTCCATCTAGCATCCTGAGGCCCATAAACTTAGCACTGTAGTTAGCTGGAATTGTTATTTTGTTATTTTTCACCATTAACACTGTAGGTCCTTGTAGAGCAGTCTTCAGGAAATCTGAAGTAGAATTTGATCCCTCATCAGCCCTATTATATTGTCCACTGTCCAAAAAGGTTGGCTTTTTGGATTCTGACTCTGTGGGTGTATCACTATTCTCACAATGCAGTCTTTCACTTTTGTCTTCATTTAAAAGCTCTTGACCGGGATGGTTCTGATCTTCAGATTTAATTTCCGTATTGCTTATTAAATTAAGCACTTGAGTGTTTTTCTCGATACTGCTGTCACTTCCACTGTTAACTTTCTTACGAATCCAGAATGCCTTCCTTGATGCACCTATTTTGTATCTTTTCAGAATTAGCTTAAGTCCTGCTGAAGTCTTTGCCATCTTCTTTTCACATTTCTCTTTCTCCAGTTTTTCTTTTGCGTATAAGTGTTCTTTATGCAAAGTTATAACATGTCTTACAAATTGGTCTTTCCTGGTGGTACTGTAATTACAATATTGACAAGTGAAAGGAAGGGCACCAGAATGAACATGAAGGTGCTTCTGAAGCTCTCCTTTGGTAAAACATATATGATGGCACTTACCACATTTGTAATGAATTTCATTGTGTCTGTGAATGTGCTGAACGAACGTGCCAACATCCTGGGTGGAGAATATGCACTTTTCACACTGGAAATTACCATTAACACAGTGTGTGGATATGAAATGCTTTGTCAAGTCCAATAAAGTATATACACACTCACTGTTACAAATGTCACATTTTACTAAAGTGCTTCTGTGGGTTTGGCGGTGTTGTTTAAATATCTGGAAGTCATTTGCTGAAAAACTGCACATTTCACAAGGATATGAAGGCAATTCACCATGGTGCCACATTTCAAAGTGTTTCTGCAAATCGTTTGGGCTATAACGAGTGCTATCTCCACATTTTAAACAGCTGAAATTGAGTATTTTTGCAGACATTTTTATACCCTCTTCTTCTGTTCTCTCAGACTTTTGAAGCAATATACACTCTTCTCCACAGCCTGTCTTCTTTATACCGACAGATTTTCTTGCAGTCTGCGGCTTGCTACAAAATAATTTTCTATATTTGTTAATTTCGTGTTTCATTAGGACTTCATTTGGAATATTTACCTTCGGCAAGTCAATTTTCACATCTTTAAGTTTATAATGAAAACTACTTTGTGACATTTTTAGTTTAGGTACTGACCTCATAGTATCAACTATCAGATTTTTCATGTTACATGCTATTTTGAAAGCAGTTTCTTTTTCATCACAAAGTAATTTGTTCAGTTCACATGGCATGATGTAATTTTAAAAATCCCAGTTTCTTTTGCTCTGAAAACTCTTGATGTTATCTGTAACTTAAACAGGAAGCAATGTTCTGTGGAGACATCGGCAAAATAACCAGGATTTTGCACACATCAATTCACCTAAAATTAAACAAACAATGGAAATTTTTATCACAAAATTGAACGTCAATTTTTATCTGTAAGTGTATTTGACACAAAGTAGAAGATACATATATTAGAGATAAAAAAAGATCTGCTTTTAAGTATGTCAAGAACAACTTATCAACAAGTAATATTTCAAAGTTAAAAATAACACTAATCTAGAAGTCTTGAAATGCAAGCTCTAGTTACAATCATGGTATACGATACTGGGAAAGCTTCTTTGAACCTCAGTTTCCTCATCTAATGAACCTTTAGATAAGTACCCCCAAGCACTAAGATTTTTATACTTAGGGTGATAATACAGTTTTAAAACAGGGTTTAGTAGCTAAATGTTGAAAGCAGCCTATATGTCCATCAACAGAAGAATGGATAAAGAAAACGTGGTATTCATGCACACTGGAGTACTACTCAGCCACAAAGAAGGATGCATTTGACTCGCTTGTAGGAAAGCAGATACACCCTGAAACCATAATGCTAAGTGAAATAAATCAGACACAAAAGGTTAAATATCATATTGTTTCTCTCATAAAGAAGTTCCCAAAAGTACAAATAATTTAGGAGCAAAATAAAAGACAGATGATAAGAAAAGATGGGAACAGACTTTCCAGAGTTGGGAATGGGATTTGGGGAAGAGGGGAAATGGAAGAGAGGAAGGGGGAAAGGAAAGTGATAAAGACGGGCTATGTGTATGTACCAGTTCCCCACAATGAAGGTATTCATTACGGATCACAAACATGTACAGTGGTACCTCGGTTCATGAACTTAATTGGTTCCACGATTTCAGAAAAGATGGCCACATCTGTCTTTGTGCTGGAAAGATGGCCACGGGGTCATGTTTCTCATCTGAAGTAGTCTGCAAACAAAAACAAAACTGTTACTCACACACCTTTTTGTGAACCAAATTGCTCGCAGACAAAATGTCTGCAAAGCAAGCTACCGCGTATTAATAATAAAAAGAAGAAAACAGTAACTGTGAGTCAAATAAACCTCTCCTCCTTTACAAAATGAAAATAAAATAAAGCAAAGCAGGGCTTTAACAATCCATTTATTTCTCTGTCGATCAAGTGATTGTTTGACTGGGACAAGGTCTTGCTAGGTGGCCCAGACTGGACTTGAACTCCTGAACTAAAGCGAGTCTCCTACCTCAGCCTCCTAAGTAACGGGGCCATAATCATGCATCATGGCACTTGGCTGTATACATTTAAAAAAATCTAAGCATGAGAATACTAAACACTTAAGCGCTAGTTATATGAAGTGGTTTGTCTATGCACCAGTAGCAAATTTTTCATTTCCTTACTTGACAGAGCTAAAAGCACTATTCATCTAGCACAATAAAGAATGACTAGATGAATAAAAGCTTCATCATTACATACAAACAACAGAAAGGCATTTTCTATTGCCCCAAGTTATCATTACTAAGGGGTTAAAAAACAAACAAACAAACAAGCAGGAAGAAAGAAAAAGAAATACCACATCTCCCTGACTTGTCTCCTACTAAGTCCATCTATCCTTTCTGGTTTCCTACCATTTTGGCTACTGAGTTGTTTTTTGTGTGTTTGCTTTTGCTCCCTAGACCTCAGAAAGAGGGAAGTAACAAAACCCTATCTCTATCCATCTCTTATTTATCAAAGCATTTACTCTCATGGTTTTCTAACTCTTTTCTTTTCTTCGCTTTCCTTCCCTTCCTTTTTGTTTTCTTTTTGCTTTCTCTTCTCTCCTTCCCTTTTTCAAAACGCAACCCTAGCTCCACTCCCTTCATCTCTTCATCTCTTAAAGTGAAGGAAAAAATTAGTATTTCCCTTCCTCTTCCTCTTTTGGAAGGTTGTTCCGAAGATTAAATGAGAAAACACACATAAAGGTGTCTTGTGAGGTACTATATAAATTGTAGCTACCATGAATACTATATGTTATTACCATGTATGGGACAGGACAGTACACAGTTGATATGAAGATCTGAGTACTAGAGGTTCACTACTGAAAATACGAAACTCTGTATTACAAATTATTTTATCTTTGTACTCTTCTATATATGAAATTTACATAAAGTTAGGTAAGCTAAAGAAAGTACAAATAATATTAAGCTCCGCTCACGTCCAAAGTAAGGTCTCACCTTTAAATTTCAATTAATCTACAAACACCTAGGAACATCACTGTTTTAGAACTCCTTTGAGGGAATGTAATTAAGTTAAGTTACTCTACATATAATGAAGCCTTTTCAGCATTTCTCAAACTTAATACTTTGGGCTGGGTCTACAAAAACATTCACATACATGCTAAACTGACAGCATATATTGTATTAAGACAGTATCAACTTTTTATTATTTTTGCACAATATGCCCTGTAAAATGCTAAAATTTTACTTTAATAAATCTCCTACAAAACTAAATATAAAAACTTCTTCTTCGAAAGAAAAATAATGAATTGCTAGAAGAAAAGTGCTATGATACTACACCTGGTGGATAGTCTACACCAATTGAGAACACTCCCTACACAGTGACTTCCCATCTATGGAACTTTAGCTATACCTGGACCTCAAAGTAAGGTTCAAGCATGTGAAACATTTTTCGCACAGCTAGTAATGCTTGTTTTGCATTAGCCAGAATGGGATGTGGGGGTCATTCTGAATTGCCACATCCAAGCATTTCTATACTACATACACAAGAGACGACTATGACGGGTTTCATTACAAAAGACAAAGTGCTTATAGCAGCATCGTGTTTCAAAACACATTTGTGCGATCCCCCAAAATTCTATTTTTACATTTCTCCTATCCAAGAACTAACAAGATCTGGTCCTGCCTAGCTTCTGAGATCAAGTAACATCAGGTATGGCCACAGACAGACATTTATATTTCTAAACACCATCAAATTCACTCAAAATATCTCAACAATTTAATTTTTTTTAAAAAATTAACAATCTCAAAGTCTGATAGATAGCCAGTGTAAAAACAGGCTTTTGAAACAATTAATAGACACAAGAAATAGATACCTAGTAAGTTACTGTGAATTAGAAAATCAAGTAAGCAAGATGTATGGCAGCCCAAGCAGATGCCAAAAAGATCACTCACTGAATTGAAGCACATGTCCTCTATTCATAGGCAAACCCCGAACATTCTTTCAGGTAGCCTTGACTCATATTTCAATTATATACTGTAAATATAGTGAATGTCACTAAAGTGAAATCTTTGCATGGGCCAATTATATATGAATTCCACCCCAAGGAAAAAGAAGGTGGGCCAAAACCCTAAAAGCATAGCTGGTCAAAGTGACCCAGCATAAGAACACAGCAGGCACCTGAGGCCTATGTATCAATAATCTTTAAGAGGGAAATTCTGCAGCACAGAACAATTATTAATCATGACGGTCCCCAATCATGTCGAGTTATACTAAGAATATTTTCAGAAGGCATGGAATTATTTCATTAATTTAGAGTATTTCAGCACATTACAAAATTTCATCAAAAACACGCAATCGGGAAAGTTCAATTAAATGGAGTTCCCAATTCTGATAAATATAAATAAATATTTTTAAATTAGGAAGATTATTTAGTACACATATCTATACATGCACTTCACAAGACCTCCTTTTATGGAACAATTCATCTTTGAACATTTTTTGACTTTCATATAAACTACTTACATGTTCTAAAAGGCTAATAAACTATATTACCATGTTTCTTATACTCTCAACAGCACAAATTTCTCTGCCAGGCTATGTATTTCCAATACTGTTTAAGAATATATGGCTAATAAAGAATGAGAAACTAGAGTCTTTCATAGGAAAATGGATACCTATTGAGGATATACTCTTAAGTGAAATATATGTCACACATGTGTAAATACCAAATAGTTTCTCTGGTGTGAAAACTATAATAGTACACAAGACCCTAATGAGATAATTAATAATGTGAAATAGGAAAAAAAGGGCTAGAAGGTCTAGGGAAAGTGGGAAGGGTGGGAGAAAGGTAATGAGGGAGAGGAAAAAAA